TGTGTGTGTGTGTGTGTGTGTGTGTGTGTGTGTGTGTGTGTGGAGGGGGGGGGGGTGGATAGAGATATGCAAAAAGTAAGATGCTGCATATCTGAGGCATCAAACGGGAGATGCTGAAACTCTACGGAACTGCAGCAAGTTCTAAAAACCTTGTTTGAAAATCTTTAACCAGCTTCTCACATTTCACAAAGCTATCAGAGAGACGGCGAAGCTAGGCTAACTTTGTATCTGGCAAAGGAAGATTTAGGGCTTTGCAAGTTATCCAAACTCAAGTAATTATGGTTTAGCCTAGAAATTGTGCTTCAACAAGACCGTGACTTAGCATTCCATGAGCCCCGTGTCGATATCTCTCGTTTCCCTTTCAGGCAGCCATCCAAGGCTTAACCTTAGGAGGGCTGGAGGTGATCTCCATCACGGACAACACGCCAGTGCCGCACAACGGCTGCCGTCCTCGGAAAGCACGGAGGCTGTGAGAGGAGGGGAGTCAGGAGGGAGGAAGAGAAGACGCTGTGCCTGGATCTCAAATAGTTTATGCAGCCATCTTTGGGCAGATATTTTTCTCTCTGCAACTTTCAGAGCAGGGACAGGCTCGGGGGTTTGGGAAGGCAACCCAGAGACTTATGTTTATAAAGTGTGAATATTAAAAAATAAAAACTTGCCTCCATCTCGGAGGGACTCTTGGAATTACATTTTTGCTTGGGGCTGCTTTCTGCTTCTAACCTTAAGGACAGAATCATTTTTAATCATCCTTTTCAACCTGATCCAGGCTGGTTTGCGAGGAGCAGGTCTTTTTCCAGTTGCAAAACGGGTCAGCTGGAAACTCCCACCATCTACAGAATTCCCCACTGTACCATTTGGGATCCAACTCCCTGTCTCTTTATGTAGAGTTCACAGATCCACTTGCCACATGGGGGGAGGGAGAGATATTTTATTGCTCATCAGCAAGTGCAGAGATCCCATCTCTTACTAGAATTTTTCTACTACCGTTCCCCCCCCCCCCAAAAAAAATGAGACCTCCCTGGGTAATAAGTCTGATCGGGCTTTTGAGCACATGTGCTAAAATACCGTATTTTTCGGGGTATAAGATGGATCTGAGAATAAGACGCACCAAGATTTTGAAGAGGCAATTTTTTAAAAAAAAGATTTCGCACTCTGCAGACCTCCCCAAAACAGCCCGTTTTTCACAAAAACTGCCTCGGTTTTTGTCAAAACAAAGGGCATGCGTAGCCTTTAGGAGGCTTGTAGAATGTTCCTGGGGGCTGGGGGGCAAAAATGAGCAAAAAATGATCCGTATTTCATGAAAACAGGCCCATTTTTGTCAAAAAAAGGGCATGCATAGCCTTTAGGAGGCTTATAAAGTGCTCCTGCGGGCTGGGGGGGCAAAAAACACGCAATTTTTCACTCACTTTTGCCCTCCCCGGCCCCCAAGATCACTGTGAAAGCCTCCTAAAGGTTATGCACGGCCATTTTTGCAAAGGGGGTGCAGGAGGCCAAAAATGCTGTATTCAGTGTATAAGAGGCACCCAGATTTTCACCCTCTTTTTGAGGGAAAAACGTGCCTCTTATACTCTGAAAAATACGGGGTAAGCCCTCCCACAAAAATAAGCCCTCCCTGAAAATATTGCAACATAGCAGCAGCCATGAAGTAACTACGCTCGCCGCCTCCTGCACCTCAAAAGTAATAAGACCTCCCTGAAAATAAGGCCAGGCGCTTATTTCGGGAGGGGAGGTTTCAAAAGAAAATAAGACCCTGTCTTATTTTTGGGGAAACATGGTCGTCAGTTAGGAAAAAGCAGGGACTTCAGAACAGTTCAGTAGGAAGTACGAAGAAGAGTTGTCGGTAAGCCAACATTAGTAAATATCTTGCCTTCTGGACCTTAGAACAATGCTTACCAACCTTTTTCCCAAATTACCCAAACCACTAATCAGAAAGTCTTAACTGAAATTCAAGAACCAGTCATGATGCTCCTTCTTTTAGAACTTGTAATTTCAAACAGTCACTGAACAAGTCATCGCAATGCCAGAATTAAAAGGGTTTGCAGGAGGTTTGGGAATAAATTTTAATACAGGGGACAATCTTTAAAGGTCCCCGTTTTGATTGGGTAATGGGTTCATTTGTTTACTCCAAGAAAAAGTACTTCTCAAATCTCAGTAAAATTTATTCAAAATTGGGCAAAAGTACTTTTTTTTAAAAGTAATCTTTATTAGTTATACATTTTTTTAAGAGTAAAACATACAAATACAAATACAATTTTAAACATACAACCCCCCCTCCCCTCCCTCGCGGTGACAGTCATTCACAGCCCAACTTTTTTTTTCCTTCCTCATTGTTAGGTCTCTAAGCCACATCTTCTCATTACAAAATTCAGGGATCTATTACAATACCCATGTTCACTTTTAACTTTCCCCGTTTTAAGTCCCTGCTGTTCTCCTTGTCGCCCACATATACCATAAGTTCCAGCTAAGGTAATGTTCCGTTTCTCCTTTGTCCCTCAGCCAACCCGTCATTCTGTCCATTTCTGCACATTCATAGATCTTTTTAATTATAACATCTTCCGACGGTGTGGTAGTGGATTTCCAAAATTGTGCATAAGTTATTCTTGCGGCCACAATTATATGTAGGCTCAAATGCCATATTGAATTGCTCATGTTTTCTGGTTTAATGCTTAGTAGAAGGTTCTCGGGTCTCCATTCCATGCTTGCCTCGGTAACCTCTTGGCAAAAGTACTTTTTTATTTGAGTAAACAAATGAACCCATTACCCAATCAAAGGAGGGACATTTAAAGATTGTCACCTGTACTAAAAATTTACTCCCGAATCTCCTGCAATTCCATTAAGATGAAAATCCATACAATTAACTGATGGTCCTTGGCCGATTTACACCATCAGTGATCACGTTTTTATATTACATGCCATTCTCGCCTTACGACCATTTGTTCAGTGACTGAAATTACGACCGCTCTTAAAGAAGGGACTTAATGACCGGTCCTTGAATTTCAGTAGGAGTTTCTAATTAGCGGTTTGGGGTAATTCAGGAAAAAGGTTGGTAAGCATTGTTCTTGCCAATTTATTCAGGTTTCTTTCAATCATAAGAAGGCTGCTTTCATGTCTGGTGTGTTTCACACAGGTTTTGTTTTTTTAAACCATCGTTGGTGAAGCCACAGATGGCTGATGACGGAGACATATCAGGGATTATTCTGTGGAAGCATCTATGAGTTGACTTGAAAGAAAGCAGGATTCTTTTATTCTAGGTTCACACTACCTACACCTGGGATCCCTCAGTGGAAATCTGGCAAGGGTCGGCATCATGACTGCCAAGAATTATCTCTTGCCCGCTGCCGTTTTAGAAAAGTAGTGATAGTTCAACTCGCAACTCAAAAGTCGTAAGCTGATTTATGTACCACAGGGGATCCTGTCCTGTTTTCACTTAAGGCAGAGCCCAACCAACTGCAGCTCATCCAATAAGCCACAAGTTCAACAAACCATAGAGAAGTGAGGTGTGTACAGGCTGGGATTCCCTTGGAAAAACTGATCCAAGATAGTAACTCCGCTGCTTCAGAAGAGTGCTAAGCTTGTTTTTCTCCTGCAAACCTAACAAAGAGCAGACACAGATTAACAGAGCTGGAAGGGACTTTGTAGGTCATCTAGTCCAACCCTCTGCCCAAGGAGGAGACAATACACCATTTCTGACAGATGGCAGTCCAGTCTCTTCTTGAAAGCCACCAGTGATGAACTCCTACAACTTCCAAAGGCAATGTCTATTCCATTGGTCGATTGTCCTCACTGTCAGGAAATTTCTCCTTACTTCCAGGTTGACTCTCTCCGTGGTCAGTTTCCATCCATTATTCCTTGTCTTAAGTGCTTTGGAAAGTAGCTTGACCCCCTTCCTCTCTGTGCAGCCCCTCAAATATTGGAAGACTGCTATCCTGTCTCCCCTGGTCCTTCTCTTCCCTAGACTAGCCATGCCCAGTTCCTGCAACTGTTCTTCATACGTTTTAGCCTCCAGTCCCCTCATCATCTTGGTTGCATTGGAACGTCCCCCCCCAAATGTCCACTGCAAATTCGCTGCAACCTGAGGCAGCAAGCCAGCCATAAACAGCCTGCAGCTCCAGGGTTCTCTCTTTCCAACCCCGCCAAGGTCTACTGTGATGTCAAACCTGGCTGCTGAGAAGGTTGGGCAAATTAAGCCAGCCATCCGGGAAAGACGTTTATTGGAACCAAGAACGAGATGCTTGGAAGTTTTCAGCAAGCATGCTTTGTTCTTAGTCACGAGCACTAATGGGGCGTACGTTGTTCCCTTTGGCCCAGCTGTCAGAACTAAAAGAGGGTGTTATGTTTGCCTGCCTCCCTCCCTTTTGATTCCATTATTCCCCTTTTGGGAGGGGTGGGGGGGGGCTCCTCTGGTTTGTAATGTTGTAATCAATTCTGCTCTTCTTTAAAAGAAAAGGGCACCATAGCAACCAGACAGATTTACTTTTTTTTTTTAACTCCTTCCTGGCTTTGTTATGTCATAAAGAGGGGATTCGCTTCCTTTTTCCACCCCCACCCCCCCCAAAAAAATTCACCTTTTGCTTCCAATGTTTTAGAATTCGAACCATTCCCCCCCTCCCACCCACCCACCCAAGGTGAGATTTGGAGAAATGTTTTCCTCGGAGCACAAACCGGGCCTATGAATGGCACAAGGGGACGTGGTTTACTACCAAGGCTGCTTACAAAAATACCCTCCTGCACGATGGGGAGACGGCCAGCCAGAGGCGAGAACGCACCCTTGCACGTACACACACAATTACGGTGATTATTCCGCTAACAATTTGAAATGCACAGTGTGTGGGAAGGCTGCTTAGAGTTCCATTTACCTCTTAACAATAACGGAAACGGGGAATAATTTTGCAGTGGAGTTAAATCGTCGCAGGTATCGCACCCTTCAGTTTTTAATTTGCGGGGTTTTTTTTTTTAAAAAAGCGTGCGAGATTAATCATCTTGATTGGATGTAGGCTTTTTTTTTTTTCCCCCACCCCTCTTTCCGCTGCAAAATTTTTCCTGCTAAGTGCTAAGATACCAAAACGATGGCGGCTTCTCCCTTTATTTTGTGGACAACAGCGGCCATCGGCTTGGTTGCCTAGGGCAGTAGTCACCAACTGGTGGTCTCTGAAAAAATTTTAGTGGCCCGCAGAAAAATTATTTGCATTTTTTATATAGCACTAAATCAGGGGTCCTCAAACTACACCCCCTAGGATGGATACGTACAATGAACGTTTGTGTTGCTGCAAAGAATCTCCCCCTTCCGGGTCTTTTTGTGCGGGTCAGAGGGGCCCAGAAATTCCGACTTGGGGTCTGCTTCAGCCTCTTGGTGAGGGGCTTTAAGCGAAGGCTGGAGGGAAGCACTGCTGGTGGTGAAGAGACGGAGGGCCTCGTTCCAGTGGGACTGCATCATGGTCTGGAACTGGCTGACCATCTCAGCCCGCTGAGCCTCCAGTTGCCGATACCTGGCCTCACAGGTCTTCCCTCTGCTTGGAAAGCCTATGCTCGTACTTCTCAAGTGAGGTGCTTCTCACTGCTGCCTGGGGGATTCTGGGAGTTGAAGAGCACACATCTTCAAGATGCCAAGATTAGAAAACACCTGCCACCTATTACTTGTGGGACGCAGTGGTTCAGTGGCTAAGACGCTGAGCTTATTGATCAGAAAGGT